CCCTGTAAGATAGCGTCACACGAAACCGACCTACCTCGCACCCCACCCACTGTCTGTTATACGCCCCAGATTCAACACACACACAACCGCCACAAACACCCAAACGAACCCATCGCCCAATCACTTCTCCAACCCCACACCACAGGCGGGCGACACGCGCAGCAAACAGCCACCCCGGAGGAAACAGAGCAGAGAGATTCCTCATCTAGCACTATCTCTCTTTCTCTGTTTTACGTTTAATAGACAGAGATCTAGCTTGTAAAAAGGACGTTCTAGCCGCACGTCAATACCGCGGGCTATCAACACAAAAGCTGTTTTATCAAGGTAGGAGAAGCGAGGATGAAACTGGTGCGCACACTCGCACCCAGTTTCTAGAAAACCACTGTTCCGTCCCTCCGGCGCAATTATATGCACATCCAGGGCGGTAATAAATTAACCAGGGATTTAGAACATCATATCGACGCCAGGAGAGACCATATATAGATAACCCGCCACGCCTCACGCCACGCTTGTATCAGACTCCGATGGGGTGGGCTGTCTCGCAAACCACACCCTACACTGTGACTGCTAAAACCGAGTCCAGCGAGGAGAGGACTCGCTCTCCATACCGGGAGGCGCGCTGTATTGGGTGGCATGCGGAGGAACAGAGAGAGAACGCGGAGGACTGGGCTGTCGCGACACGGCGGAGGGTGCCGCAGCAGGGGAGTGACAGCGGCCGACCGCAGCGATCAGCCCACTGTTGCTGCATTATTTGTCCTTCACGAACACTGGCTCTCCCTGCTCCCGTCCTTGACCACTCTCAGCTCAGTTGGGTATGAACGGATGGGCATGGGTGAACCAGACACAGCCAGCGACTGGGACACGCCAGGGGGGGGGCCCCCTTGGCTTCATTCTTGTCATGGCACGGAGAACGAGTTGTCTCCCTCGTCTGCCATCCAACCCTCCGCTGGGCTCCACATGGGCCCGAGCACTAGCGCTCTGCATCCTAATTCACGCTTATGTTCAAAATTAGTTACTTCACTATTTAACAAATAAGCCGTGACACACAACATCTGTTAGACATGGCACTCGGAGCATCTTATCGCCTCTTGCCCTGTTCACATAGTTAAATGTGCTGGCAATTTAACCAATAAAATTCAATTCTTAGTGGAGAGTAGTGGCACTGTCAGTGATTGTGTGTGTGTGTGTGTGGTGTTATGTGTGCTGTTGTGTGTGTGTGTTACTGTGTATGTGTAGGTGTGTGTGCTGTGTGTGTTGTCGTACACACACACACACACTGACAGTCCACTACTTCTCCACTAAGAATTAATTTTATTGGTTAAATGCAGCACATTTAACATATGTAACAGCAAGAGGATAATGACTCAGTGCATGTCTAACAGATGTGTGTGTCACCTTATTTTAAATAGTGAATAACTAATTTTGAAATAGCTGAATTAATGCCAGCGTAGTGCTCGCCCATGTGGACCCAGGAGGGGTTGGATGGAGGAGGAGACATCTTCTCCTGCCATGACAGAATGAAGCCAAGCCCCCTCTGGCTGTCCCAGTCCTGGCTGTGTCTGGATTCACTCCATGCATCCATACCCAACTGAGAGAGTGTAAGGAGGAGCAGGGAGGAGCCAGTGTGTGAAGGACATATGTCACAACATGTGTGATCTGCTGGCCGTCTGTCACCCCCTCTGGTCTGGTGGTCCACAGGCCATCCTCCTTTCCTTTTCCACAGCCACAAATACAGCACTGACACACATCTGCTGGACTGGTTACAGATAGATGTGTTGCAGTACAGCCATCTATCAGTCTGATACACTTACTATGTTTTTACCAATGTTGGAACTATGATTGTTCTAAATCCCTTATTTATTCCTCCTCATGCATAAATTGCGCAACAACAGTGTTTTCTAAAACATTTCATTCAAGTTTCATTGTTCCTACTTTGATAAAACAGTTTGTGTTATAGGGTTTAGTGCTAAACGTTCCTTTTTACAAGCAGATCTGTCTATGTAAAACTAAACAGAGAAAAAGATATGTCTAGATGAGAAGCTCTTTATTAAGAACATCTGAACATTGTCAGAGTAACATTCTCCAAACACTTCTGTTGGTCAGAAGCCACAAAGAAAACATCTTTGGACAAACTGGTCTGGATTAAAAGCTTAGCAACATTTTCTATTACAGTGACATAGCCAGGAAGTGCATTTGCTAATAGGTAGCTTAAGCATGTGCGTTTTAAATTGTACCAGTTTTCAAGTAATATGGAACACCTATTGATTCTCTAGTCACTTTGGGTTGAATTACATGGTTAGGGACTGAGTGGGAAACCACACCTTCTTAGTGAGGCTGACACGTACAACTTCACTCAGGTACAAAAACTTATACCCAGTATGGTTTCACTGTTTTGCTGAAACTTTATCCTCTGTGTTGCTCAGCCCATGTGTGTGTCCATGTTACGTAATGTAATTCAGTGTCTTGACTCGACTCCATCTATCTCTCTCCCAATCAGGTGAGTCAGCTGTACCTGAGCTCCACAGGTCGTCTGTGCTCCTCTCTGCCACCACACATCTTCTCCTCAGCAGAAAGAGCCTACCACATGATGCTGCAGGAGAGACGCCCGCAGTGTTTCATCTTAAGGTACATCTTCCTCCCTTAACACACAAACATACACTCTCACAAACACTGAACTCTGTGTCTTGCGATTATGAGACAAAAATGTCAACAGAGCAAAATAACAGTTCAGCTGGCCACCTGGTTTTGTCCACACCCCTCTGCCTCACACCTGTTAAACACGCCCTGAGAGATTAATAGCTTTCAGCGTGAGTTGAGCTGTAGACCTGTTTGGTGTTCACGCAGAGAGGGAAGTTTGCTGCTCTTTGTCCTCGGCTGGACGGAGGCAGCTCCCTGATAGCAATTAAATCCCGTTCCGGCTCTCTAGTGACATTCCCGCTGAGTTGTAACCAATCTGGCAGAGAGTTAATGCACCCCGGCCACAGGCTATCCATCTCACTCATACACGCAAACAAACACACACACAC